GCGCGCGCTATGGGGAGCCCAGCAGACTGGTGGGCTCGTGGGTTTTCTCATTGCTGGGTCAATGTGTGCTCCCCTAGGAGCCTGTCTGTCAGCAGCCAGCACACCCTCGGGATATTTTCAAGCAGAAGGAGAGGGCCATGTCCACTACATCTATCTCTAACCCCCAGCCAGGTGAGACATTCCTCCGGGCAGAACTGTAAGACAGGTCAGGGTGAGGGGGAGTCTGGAATCTCAGTTCAGAGGTCCCTGAGGCTAGTAACAATTATGTCAGAAAGTAACAGGGATGAATGAGTAAGAAGATCGTGTGCCCTTGAAGGCCGTTTCTGGGAGGGGGTGCCTCATGTCTCCTTGCCCTGGTGGGATAGGGCAAGAAATATAGCTCTACAGTGGACACCTCCCAGCCCTGATCCCATAAATCCTTGGTAAAGCTCACACATGAGGCTTATTAGCTGGGTCTTGGATTTGTATCAGTCACCTCTCGAGCTTTAAAAGAACGCAAGACTGCACTTGTCAGCTGGCTCACCAACCTGTACGTGGCTCCTAAGGAGCTATGTAGAGTCCACTCGTGTGTGTACGCACACACGCTTGTGTCAGGGTGGGGAGTTTACACACCAGGTGCTACTTCTGCAGCTGCTTTGTGTTCTCATTCACTGTGTGATGTTCACTATCCAGGACAGGCTTACTCACTGGTCAGTGCAGGTTGTAAAAAAGGTAGAGACTACTTTGTTCTTACCTTTTTCCAGCTGTGTGATGCCATCTATGTTGTTTATCTTCGGTTTGCAGGCAAACTGAAGAGCCCGTTCTTGCAGAAGCAGCTTACCCAGCCAGAGACCTCTCTTGGCAGAGATCCAACTCATACCATCTTGAGGCCCAGGACAGGCAAGGCATTTGGCAGTAGGGAATGGGGAGGAGTAGTTATGTATGGATGGGAAATGGGGATGTTTTCTTATTTTCCCAGGGTCAGAGTGGGCTTAATCCTCCCTTGCAGATCTCCAAGAAGAGCCTATACCCAGAGCCTCTCCATGTCCAGTACAGGCAGGAGAGGAAGCTGTGTATGAGGAGCCTCTGGAGCAGGAGACCTTCTACGAAGAGCCCCCATTGGTGGGTTCCTTGCAGCAGGGGCAGGACTGTGAAGGGGCCATGTGTCCAGTTCACTCTCCTTGTCCTTATGGACCATGGGATACTTTCCTTTTCTGTGGCTCACTACATCTTGATTGTCACTTTTCATTTGGAAATAACCATGTGCTCTGAGTTGCCTAGCCAGCATGCTGAGGTGGGGGTGCCACCCAGCAGGCAGAGAGGGACAGAAGCAGCTCCTGCTTTCTAGGTGCTGTGTTCTCTCAAGTCTGACCTTGTGCATGGCAGTAGGAAGGCCCTGGTCTGGGATAACCAGGACCCCAGACTTCTCTTCTTTCCCATTCATGGACAGGTTCAGCAGGATGCTAGTTCTGAGCACATTGACCACTACCTGGAGCTGAGTGGGAAAGGGCTCTGTGCCCGTGCCCTGTACGACTACCAGGCAGGTAATGTATTACTTCCTGGCCCCCTCAGACCAAAGTGCCCCAGACTAGAAGACAGATTTCTACTTTGTGGAGACCGTTAAGGGGCTTTGGACAGGAGGGTGAGAAAGGAGAGTGCAGATATGACCAGTCCAGGCCACCTCACACACTCTGGACAGCTATCTGATGTCCACTGACATGAAATAATAGTTGGTAGTCTTATTCTGGAGGTGAGTGGGTAAGACATGGACACCAGTGCCCACTCTGGTTGGAGGTCTCAGGGAGCAGGCTCATTTGTAGACCTGCTATACTCCAGCCTTTTGCAAGAGCAGAAGACCCAGAGTGAGACCCTATAGGAAGGTGTGTCCTCAGGAATGACCATTTCAACTGTCAGGACACAGTCGGGGCTGGGATCCAGAGCCCCAACACCCTCTCATCTGGGTTCCCAACAGCTGATGAGACAGAGATCTCCTTCGACCCTGAGAACCTCATCACAGGCATCGAGGTGATTGATGAAGGCTGGTGGCGTGGCTACGGGCCAGATGGCCACTTTGGCATGTTTCCTGCCAACTATGTGGAGCTCATTGAGTGAAGATCACTGCTGCCGAAGACTGAGGGTCATCCATCCCTTCCTTGCCCATACATGATTTTTCTTATTGCTGGAAAGGTGGTGGAAAAGTTGTAGGGATGTGTGTATGGCACTCTTCCAGGAATGGAGTCCCCTGATGAGTATGAGGACACAGGCTCCTTTGGGCTTAGGTGGCTCAACCTCTGTCACCCTGAATGCAGCTATAACCTTGTGATTACCAAACATGCTTCCCACAGCTTCTCAGACCCCCTCAGCTAGTCTGGCCTTTGACCCCAACAGAAGACATTGAACCAAGTCCCACCATGACCAGTCCATTCCTGACCTCTGCTCTACCCAAAGAAGACGGCACTGCCCTTCTGGGAGTAGTAAGAGGGTCATCTATAAACTTCTGTCCACAGTGCAGGCCCCTTTCGTTATTTACCTTTTTCCCCCTTTCTTGTTGACTTCCAGTGGATAATGGCAACAACTTTTTAGTGACCCAGTGAATTTAGCATTTATGACCAAAGGTGGTTATTTTGGTTCTGTGCTCTCCATTTCTCTGACTGAGCACTGGAGGCAAGGACTACCTACCAACCCCCCATCTAAATGTATGAAGGAAGTGAAAACATAAAACAGACAGGTGTTCTTCCATGTGGTTCACTTTTGTCCACCGTGTGTTTCTCAACCAGTTGTAGTTCAGGAAAAGTAACAAGTAGCCCACACCTGCTCTCATCCCCATTTTCTGTCCCAATCTATCTGAGTGTGTGTTTGAAGCAAGAATTACCTCATACAGGCCCCAACTCTGCTCTGTTCTAATGCCCTAATGTGGAAACCTCTTTCTGGGTGTCTGTTCTGTTCTGTGTGTGTGTGTGTGTGTGTGTGTGTCTGTGTGCGCGCACGTGGATGTGCACACACCTTCAAACCTCTGCTATCAGATACCTAGAATAAGCATAAATGTTAAAATGAACTGAAGTCAGCCTCCAGCATTTCAGTTCTAGGGGTTGGGGGAAGTGTTGCTTTGTTCCCTGCTTTACAGAGCCTACACCCATGTGGGACAGACCATGTGTGCACATGTACATGTGGGTGGAATGAGGCACTGGCCTCACCTAACATCTATTGTACCCTGGGTGGTGCTAGAGGACACAATCTGGGATGAAGGCTGTGCCAAGGAACTGCTGGTCCTAAGTGATATTTAAGCCTAGTATGTCTCCCTTCCTGTGGCAAGTGGCCCATCCAGTCTGCCCCTCTAACTGGCAGGCCTTAGCAAATCCTGTTTCTCCCCACCCCCCAGGAAGACAGCAGGGCCCAGCCCAACTGCTTAGAGATCTTATGAGTCCATTGTTGCCAGCTTTGAGGCCAGTTGTGGGTTTGTCTGCCTCGAGACAAGGGGACACATTGGGGTCTGGAGGGAAAACAGAGGACAGGCCATCTGAAGGGAATGCAATGAAATAGTATCCTGGTCACAGTCCTTGCTGACTGCAGGAATGTTTAGGTTCAAGTCACCCCAGTAACCAGATTTTAAAGGTTACCAAGTTAGCAAGTGGCTCTTAAGCTCATAAAAGCTTGTTAGGAGCCCTCTAATGACCAGGGATGACAACCAGTCTCCTGCCTCTCTGTAAGCCTAATGCAGGTGGGATTGGCAAGCCCTTCTAAGGCAGTGTTTGTAGGATTGCAGGGCTAAAGCCTGTGAAGCCATCCCTGTGTAGGGGCTGGGGTGTAGAGGGTAGGTATCTTTTAGCTCATGTGCCAGATACATCTTTATTCATCAGAGCCCACCCTTCACTTGGCCTTGCCCTGTGCAGCCACCGCCTCCATAGCCTTTCTTACTGTCTCCTCATCACCCAGGAACCGCATTGGCTTGGTAGGCTTCAGCTGTTTGTCCAGTTCATACACGATGGGGATCCCCGTGGGTAGGTTCAGCTCCATGATGGCTTGGTCCGACATCCCTGGACCAGAGTGAATAGTATGCTTAATCCCTGTAGTCTGTTGGCCAAGCAAGCCACTTATACCACATAGCAAGGCTACAAAAGCAAGGCTAGAGAAGGTCAGGGCAGAACTGAGTCAGACGGAATGGCCTAGAAAAGCTGGTAGTAACCAAGAACTTTGCCCCTGCCCTGAGTGAATATGGTTTAGGGCAGTATCATCTGCCTTCTATTCAGCCTTGCATGAATCCTGACTGGTCTAGAGTTCTAAATTTTGGACATCCTGAGCAGTGCAGGGGGTGCTGCTAAGGAAACTGGAGGAGGGACAGTGACAGGACAGTCTGCTGACCCAGCAGAGATGAACTGAAGGTTTTCCAGGTGGAAAGGGTATTTCCCTATGGAAACCAGACCCTACTGGCCTCTGTAGTCCCGGCCTGAAATAGTAACTTGACCTTTGGTGTTCACATCGCCCCCACCCACTCCATGCAGTGAGAACTTAAAGCATTTTCTGGGTTGTCAGAGACCCAAATAACATTCACCTGAGTGCATCCCTTTCAGAATGGATTTAGGCATGGGCTGTAGGAAGCCCCCAGAAGGGAAGAGCAGAAGATGGTTTATCTCTTGGGCTCAGTGCCAAGTATTAAGTGTCTGCCAGTGGGCCTGGCATCCTGGAGAGGGCAGAGCCTCACCTGTGACCAGCTGCTACCTGACACCCAGAAACAGGATTGGCGCCTTTCATTACCTGCCTTCTGTGATCCCAACAAGCTTGACAGCTGTTAAGATACTATTATTTTACTGTCCTGATCTGTGGAAATCCTCACAGCCCGTGGAGCTGTCTTAAATAGTATTCAAAGGTAGTAAAGAAATGGAGCCTATCATTCTCAAGGGAACCCCTTTCTGACTTTTTAGTGGTAACACAGTCTGAGATCTCTAGTGTAGTTCCATACACTGCATCCTTTGGTCTTAACTTTGGCCAGAGTGAGTGTGAGGTGGGGTCTTGTAGGGGGCATCACCTCCACAGGTGTTTCCAGGAGGAACCCATGGAACCCAGGGCCCCAAAGTCATTTAACTTTGGTCGCACAATCCACCCTTTTTCAGATTGGGTGTCCTGGGCAAGTTGTCACCCACTTTCTGAGTTATTCCCAACTCAACCACGGATTACTTATGGAAAGCTGGGCCATCAGTCCTAGGACTTGTATTCAGCGGTGTCAGATTTCATCTACTGCCTTCATGAAGACTCATATTTTAGTCTTCCTATACAAACACAGGAACAAAACTTCTGGTTTTTTTTTTCTAAGCACTGGCTTTGGGTATTTTTTTAGGAAGGTTTTTCTCAATCCTACTAGTTTCCATTCACAGTTTAAAAGTCTCACCCTGGTAGTTGAGTCATCAAGCTGGCCCAACCTGACATTTTGCTGAAGTGAGAACTTGGGGTCAATTGGTGTAAGGGTCGGATTACCACCCCCACATCCCTCTGGAGGGTGGGCCTCACCTTCCAGGTGCTTGACAATACCCCGAAGGCTGTTCCCGTGGGCTGCAATAAGCACTCTCTTGCCAGCCTTGATCTGGGGAGCGATCTCCTTATTCCAGAAGGGAAGGGCCCGGGCAATGGTGTCCTTGAGGCTCTCGCAAGTGGGCAGTTCCTCTGGTTTCAGATTTGCATATCGACGTTCCTGGGGAGCATTCACACTCTTGTTCCCGCAGCAGACCAAGGCGCTACCCCTCCCCCCACCTCCCTTGAGCCACCCCTCCTCTCCTGCCTGAGGGCTTCCCCACCCCCATCCCGTTCGCCCCCACCACCTCGTGTGCGCGTGCAGCCCACCTTGCTGATGGAGTTGTAGTAGGGGTGTGTCTCATCCATGGGAGGTGGAGGGATATCAAAAGAACGCCTCCAGATTTTCACCTGCTTCTCCCCGTGCTTCGCGGCCGTCTCTGCCTTGTTGAGGCCGGTGAGGCCCCCGTAGTGCCGCTCGTTAAGCCGCCAAGTACGGACCACCGGCAGCCACATCTGGTCCGTGCCGTCCAGGATGGTCCAGAGAGTGCGGATGGCCCGCTTCAGCACCGATGTATAGCAGATGTCAAACTCCATCTTGGCGTCCTTGATGGCCTTGGCTCCCCGCTTGGCCTCCTCCACCCCCTTCTCGCTCAGTTCTGCATCAAACCAGCCACAGAAGCGGTTCTCCTGGTTCCAGGTGCTCTCGCCGTGACGAACCATCACGAGGCGGTAGGTGGACATAGTGGTATAGACTGTAGGGACTGACAGGACTTCCAGACAGGACAGCTGCTTCTCCAGTGTCCCTAGCTTTATAACAGTTTGTCCCCAACCCCCACCCGAGTCAACTGCCAGTCAGCATTCCAGGCCTGACTGGCCTATGCAGGTGGCCAGTAACCAGGATTGTGGGGGAGGGCAGGGTTAAGAGCTGAATTTAAAATAGACACACCAAGCCAACAACCAGTCCCACACTTCCAGAGCCAAGATGGGGTAGGGCAGCATGGTGCTGCAGGTTTGGACTTCAAAAGTAGAAGTCTAGGCCTCTAGCCAGTGCAATAGGTGGGGACTAGCAGGAACAGAAAGGATATCCAGAGCGAGACTTTCCCTTAGGTCTGGGTTTCTTGCCCCTTACGCTCCTCTGTGGGTCCACAATCAAGGCAGAGGCATAAAAACAATCCTGACCATTTTCTTCTGAATACTTTGGCACAACTGGGGGCAAATATTTCAGTAGGGAAATTGGTCAGATGTTCAAGGGAGAACCAAGGAGTTCATGTGGGTTTGTATGTTTACCCACACAAGTCTACAAACTGTGTTATGCATACTTTTCTGTCTGTGCATGCTTGCCTGTGTTTTTTTTGTGTGTGCATGTAGGCATGTATCTGCTTTATGCACATGTGTTTTTTTTGTGTGCATGCAGGCATGTATCTGCTCTATGCACATGTGTGAGCTGCCAAGACTCAGCTATTTACTTTTTGGGGGGATTCCTTAGTAGTCCTGACCATACCACTCCCCTTTGCAGTTCTCCTTGTGCTGAAAGGTCCTCTGCCCTAACAATGCCCATAGGTCTGTGGGAGCGTGGATCTAATGATAGAAGTTCAATTTCATCTCTACAAGTTCTGTTCCTCAAGGAACAGAAGATAGGGAAAGTTAATGTGGGACCCTGAGTAAGGGGAACAAGTAGGGGCTGTAGTCTGGGAAGAATGGTGTAACCTTATAGGAGAGGACACTGGGCAGCACTGTGGGCAAGTCAATAAGGCCAAGGTGGGACTGGGTTTCCAGTGAAATGGATCAAGCCCTGGGGAACAGGGGCAGACTCAAGTAGTGGGGTCCTCTCCTGTGCACTTTGGACTGCTGGTCACAACTTAAACGATACATACAGCAATAGCAGAATTTATTTATATAAGGAGTGAGGGAAGGGAGAGTAAGAGTATTTATAGGCCAACACATGGCTGCATGCTTTCTGTCCTACTCCAGATATTCTACTAATCAGAGACAAGTCCAAGCTGAAGTTGTACTTGGCAAGCTAGGGCTTTCTCCACAGACACCCCTCATCACCAGCAGTTTAAGAGCTTCAACTCCTTCCCCTTTTTCCCATCAATTCCTGCTCAGAGGGTGAGCCTTCTATTGGAGTATCCTTATGTAGACCAGGATCAGAACCCTGCCCCCTGATATCTGGGGAGGATGCCTACCCAGTGCCTTGCTCTAAGCTCTGTCCTTGAGGTCTTAATGAGATAGCTTCTGGAGAGGGGTAAAGCTGAGTGGCCAAGTTATGGGAAACTCTGATAGAGAGCAGTGCTTCTAGGCTCACTCTTTAGATGGAGTTGTTGGGGAAGCAGTCCTTCAGTAACTCACAGGGTGGCAGACCTCTGCCACATCTTGCTGGCTCCTGTAGCTGTAGCCACATCTCATACTTTAGTAATTGGACTTTCTCCCTCTCCTCCTGCACCAGTAGGTAAAATAAATTGTTGTTTTTTTCTTTTTTGCTGCACCAAAGGCCCTTTGGTTTGCTTTTGTGATGTAAAATGGACATACCCAGAACCAGTGAAAGTTTCCGATCTAGTGATAGTTTTTAGATCCCTTGCCCAGTGACATGTATATCATCAAGTTGCTTTTTGGAGGTGGAATTTAGAAAGCATCTTCTACCAGAGTTGACTATTGAAAGGAAAAGGCGGAAAGGAGGGACGGACGCCGTGAGTCTGTTCACCAGGAAGCCAAATTTTATCCCAGAGCTGAGCTTATATGTACAACAGGGGCATCAGGGGTGGTGTGTCGTGTGCCCATTGGCCGGGTCGCGATCAGGTGGGGGAGCCAGGTGGGACGGAAGAGTAGCCAAGGGAAAAGAACAATGGGTGGGATGGACTGGGCTCATGGCCATATTTGGTGGTCAGGTGAGGACAGGCACAGCGTAGGCATGGGTGGTGTCCTTCAACTATGGGTGACATCCACTGCTCAGAGGTTGTTTCTCATTGTTCTTATATCAGGACAACCAAGGAAACAAGGCCTAATTGCCTGAGCCAGACAGGATCAGGGGTTCTTTCTCTCTTGGCCCCTTTGGTGAGTTCTTGTGCATGTCTGCCACTTTCACTGACCTTTTCTGCCTTCAAATCAGATCACCCCCACCATCTGAAGCAATCACTAAGAATAAAGAGAAAGATTCAGAATCAGAAGGTGCCTACAGAGTCAGAGGAAATGCTTGTTAAGTCCATGCCCAGCTTAACATAACCCAGAGATAGTCTGATGTTGGGGCTGGGAGGCAATTTAGAGTTGGGTCTCAGCCCAGGACTTCTGCATTCAGGTTTTGGGGTTACTGGGGTTACTGGGGCAGGGGTTATAAGGAAATTGTGGGACCAGTCCCTGTTAATGAACACCTGTCTCAGTTTCCCTCAGCCAATAAAAGGAAACAGAGTTTGAGGAAAAGGAAAGTGGCTTTATTTGTTGACACATAAGGAGGGCAGCAGATTCATGTCTGAAAGATAACTGTCCTGCTCTTTGGCAGGTTACAGGTATATTTATACAATGCTAAAGAAAAGGGCGAGGTGGGAGAGGGTCTGCAAAGGGGAGGGTGTAAAAGTCAATGCTGTGTTACTGCTGGGACTGATAGGTGGGCACCAGCCTTTACTTACACAAAGAGAAACCAAATGTTCCCATTTTAAGGACAATGTGGAAAGGGGGCAGCACAGCACCGGGAGGCTCCAGCAAGCTTTCTCATGATTTGCATTTGTTTGGGTCCCTTTTCCTTGAACCTAAGCCTGTCAAGAGAAGAGAAACTGCAAGGAAAAGAGGAAAAAGTAGATCTGCAGTCAATTAAGAGCTCTGGGAAAACCAATTCCATCATAAATTTGTCAAATGAGGCAAATCTGCAAATGCTTATCTGAGAGCCCAGTTACTGTATTATCCCCCCAAAAGTGTCAGATAGGTTTTTCCTAAGATGCCCAGGGCAGGCCTCTTATCACCTTGGTGTGAGAAATAGAAGTCAATCTAGTAAGCCTTGGGATATCTATTGCTATTACTTAAAGAATGTGATTGTTTTACTTTGAGAGTAGTGGGGGCCCTGAAATCTAGCAGGAACTCTATTTTTGTCTAAATTCTTTGCCCTTCCCTCATGGAACAAAAGATCACTATATCCTAAACTCTTGTCCCTTTCTTATTAAAAATCACAATTGGGACCTCAGTGGTGGCACAATGGGTTAGGACATAGCCACAAGCTAGCAGCAGCTGCTTCATTGTCAGTTCGATCCCTAGCCCAGGGGAGTGATCCACACTGCAAGGCAGACCTCTCCTGTCTTGCCTGCTGCTTCCCTCAGTAGTATACTTTGTCACTCTGCCTGTTCTGCTTCCCACTCTGTCTCTGGTGAATCCTCTCACCACCCCTGCACCTCTGGCCTGTACCCCCAGTTCTGTATGCATAAATAAATAAATCTTTAAAATAAATAAATAAAAACAGCAAGGGGGGGTGTCTAACTCAGTTTTACTTTTATCAGTGAACATGTTTCTAAGAAATACACCTATACTTTCAAGTAAGGATGAGGTTCTCCCTTGTCTATCATGTGATGTTGCCTCCTCTCTGTCCTGCAAACACAGGACAAGTATCTCTGACCCTCTCCATTATTCTTTAGAATTTACCCTCATTGGAGAATGTGTTATTGAATTGATTGTTTTTCCTTTGCTAAATTTCCTTTGAAAATGTGTCCAGCCCAGGAAGAACCCAGAAGCAGTACAGAATGACTTCTCTTGTGCCCCAACAATTTAGTGAGCCAGCCAGAAGAAACTTTACAATCTGGACATTCCTTGCTTCTGAAAGCTGCCATAGAAAGATACCATGTATTACTGACAAGAGCTGGCTAAAAAGGTACAAAGTCTTACCAAGTCAGCTACAGAATATCAGTTTATTGGGCACTGAGGAGAGAAGTGTTCAGTATCATTTAATGAGGTTAAAAATTAAGCCCCACACTTACTCAGTAGGAAAGTTTGGAAGACTTGAATTTATAAAGGGAATTGATAAGGCCGCTGTTATGCCAGAATGGGATGCTCTACCCCCCCCCCCCCAAAAGCCAGCCACATCGCTGTAAACACAAGAGGAAACTTTATGCAAGCTCAAACTTGGGCCCAACCGCACACCAGAGGCACCTGGGTGGTAGAAAGGGCCCAGAACAAAGGGAAGAGCAGATTATATAATCCCTTTTTGGCGTGCAGGCCTCGGGACAAAGGGGTAGCTAGTGATTGATTTGGCTGAGCTTTACATGGTTTCCTAAATATGGTGAGGTTGGCTTTTGGCCACGGGTGAATGGCCCCCTACACCTTATCTATACAGTAATGCACAAGAATGCAGGTTCCATCCAGGGGGAGTAAAAGCTTCCCCTGGAATGGCAGCTTTAAGAACATGGCACTTATTATGTTCTTCAGTTGCTATCAAAACCAGGCTTAAGACTGATCATTTTGACCATGAATGCAAAAGCAGAGCCTGTCAAAGGTCAATGCCCAAGACCATACATCCCAGCAAATAAATGGCCCAAACCATTTTTCCCATTCATGATAAGTCCACCAAAACAGGTTATATATAGAAACAGGTTTTATATATATATAAGGGAACCCCAAATCCTTCACATACAGATTTCAACCATCTCATCCCCTGCTCCTGTGGGTCTGCTAATCCTAGGCGGCTTATCCAGCCTCCATTTTATTACCTATGGTTCTGTATTCCTAAAGCAAAGTTAGAACTGCCTGGTCATAGGAGCCCAGCCCTACGAGGTACCTTTAACATCAATTAAGAGTATACAGCTAGATCATCCTGAGAAGGATATGCATCACGAAGTATGACTGGGAACGCTTGGGAGCTGAGGACTGATGCATCAAAAGGTATGACCAGGAATGCCAGGGGGCTGTTGACGTATAACAAAGGACCCCAGAAGCTGATCAGTGGAATGCCTTATTGATTTGATTGAAATTCTGACTGGGAAGTCAGGGCTTGATCTACATACCAAGCTGTCATGAGAAATACAGTTCCACCCTTCCTCTGCTTCTCCCTCTCTTTTTCTGCTTCCTCATATGACTAATGCTGTATGACTGGTTTATCATTAAAAGGCCAGGATCTTACTCTTCAACACCATCTTGCTCCATGACTTGTGTCTCTATCAGCGTGGTATTGCCTGATGCAACATGCTCCCTTGCAGGGTATTTCAAGAAATCTTTCTCTGTTCTTCACTCAGTGTCATGAATTCTTTCACTCTCATGCCCCTGATATTTCTCCCTACTACAAGAGGTGATATTATTTTACTATCTGAATTTTGGATTTACTCTTTAAATTTTGGATTTCTCCCTACTACAAGGTGATATTATTTTGCTATCTGAATTTTGGATTTACTCTTTAAATTTTGGATTGACAAAATTACTTTTGTGAACTAGTTTGTTAATGCTTGATTTTCTGGCTTTAAAGAATTTTGTCCTTTAGTATTTTTTATTATTTTAAGGTTTATTTTCTTATATAATTATTCATTTTTATACAATATTTGATTTTTCCTCCACAGTTGTATTCCCTATTGTTCTCCAACTACCATAGTATCCGTGAACCATTATCATAGTCCCTTGCTCTTCTTTTCCCTCTTTAGACCACTCCCCCTTCCCTTCCCATGTTGTATGAATCAAACCTATGGTCAACTTACAAGTTTTGTCTTTTTCCTGACCCTTTATTCTATTTTCCTCTTTTCCACCTATACCTGAAGCCATCAGATATCTTCCTTTTTCTTTCTGGCTTACTTCACTGAGGAAATCCCTTCCAGCTCCATTAATGTTGCTGAAAATGACTTGAGTAAATTTCTTTTTTTTAATTGTTGAGTAGTATTCCATTCATCGATTTTGATGACATTCATCACCCAAAACATTCATCTATTTTGGGAGATTTGGGTTTTTTCAGTATCTAAATTATTGTAAACAGTTGTGCAATAAATATAAGGGTGCAGGTTTCCTTTGAAGTAGTGTTTTTATGTTCTTTGGGTAAATTACGAGGGATGGAATAACTGATGATAATGTGTATTATGAGTATTGTGAGGGTCTTCCACATCGCTTTCCATAGTGGTTGAGCCAGTTGGTATTCCCACCGGCAGTGTAAGAAGTTTCCTTTTACTTCACATTTTTGCCAGCATTTTTGTTGCCAGTTTTTGTAATATGTGCCATTCTCACTGGAGTCAAGTGTTATTCTAATTTTGATTTCCTTGATAACCACTGATTTTTAACTTTTTTTCATGTGCCTGGACACTCTTCTGCCCACATTTAGACTACAGGTTGCTTGCTTTGTTTTTGTTGAGTTGTGTAAGCTCTTGTAAATCTTTGATATTAGTCCCTTGTCAGTTGTATGGTGTGGGAATATTTTCTCCGGTTCAGTAGGCAGTCTCTTGATTTCAGTTACTGAGATTTGATCTCTTTTGTTGTATATAAATTTCTAGTTTGATGTTGTCCCATTTTTTTTATAACTCCTTGTGTTCCTTGCTTCTGAAGATGAGTCCTCAAAGATGGTTCTGGGGTGTATGTCCTATCGTGTTTTGCCTATGTCTTTCTTCTATTATTTTTTATGGTTTGACATGTAAATTCAAGTCCTATTTTGAGTTGGTTTTTATGTATAGCGGAGGGTTTTGTGTGTTGCCTTTTTTTGTGGTTATATATGATATTCAGCAATATTTGTTCCATTGAATATTTGTTCTTTGAAGAATGCCATTGAGATTTTTATTGGAACTAATCTGTAAACCACTTTTAGTAGGATAGTCATTATAATGCTATTGATTCTTCCAATCAATGACAGGGTATGTATTTCCATTTATTTGTATCTCCTCTATACCTTTTATAATGTTTTGTAATTTTCCTTGTATAGGAAAATTTTGCTCCTTGTTATTTTTTTCCCAGGTACTTAATTTTTGGTGATACAATTATAGATGGCACTATTTTTTAAATTTATTTCTCTTCAGATTGAATGTTTGCATATAGGAAGGTTATTGATTTTTTGTGTTGATTTGTAACCAGTTACTTTATTAAACTGATTTATTTTTTTAATTAGTTTTTCCATGGATTTTTTAAGGATTCTATTTATATATACATATATATGTTATTGTATCACCTGCATATAATGATAGTTTTACTACTTCCCAATTTAGATTCCTTTCTTGTCTTTCTTTTGACTAATTGCTCTTACTAGTTCTTTCAGTAGTACAGCGAAAGGTAGTCATGAGACTGGACATCTGGATCTTAAAGAGAATGCTTTCAGATTTTCACCATTAAGAATGATGTTATTCAGTGGAGGGAGGGAAATGCACTAGACTATGGTGATGGCACACAGGTGACTTGGTGATTGGACGCCCACAGGGATTACAACTGAGATGGAAAAAGGCACAAAATGATGTAAAAATAAACTATTATATTAATTTTAAACAATGATGTTATTTACATTTGTTCCAAAAAATAAATTGCTATGAATAAACCTAACAAAGGATGTGAAAGACCTATAAAGAAAATTATAAAACATTGTTATAGGAAGTAGAAGATGACACTAAGAAATGGAAAGACATACCCTGTTGATGGAAGAACTAACATTATCAAAATGACCATCCTACCAAAAGCAGTTTACAGATTCCATGCAATTCTAATAAAAAATCTCAATGGAATTCTGCAAAGAAACAATGAACAACTATAAACCAGAGACATTTTATGGGGCTGAAGAGGGAAATAGGATCAAAACTAGGGTGGGAAGTGCACACGGGACTATGGTAAGCCCACACGGGTG